ACATACTATTTGGCGCAGACTTTGCTAACTCTATCTTGTTCTTGATTAATTTCTAAATAGGTTTTTGTATTCACTTATATGAGGATTTAGATAGAAATGATATCTGAAGTCTATTTTCAATACTAGGCATAAGTATACTATTATTTAGATATACTAATTGACTCACAGATACTTTCTTCTAAATAATTACTTTATATATTCTTGCAACTTCTTTTATAATAATAGCTTCATTATATTCCTTTTTACCTTTTTCTAATATCTAGTCTCCAAGATGTCTTATAACTTCTTTTCCTCATTTAGCTTGTACAGACTCTTTATACTTTCCTATTACTATCTCAAAATATATATCTTTTTCTTTATCTATATACTTTGAGTTTAATACAAGGAGTTCTGATTTTTTACTATTTAACTTGATATTATTTAGCTTATAGAATTCTGCAGAGATATCAACTATTTTCTGTATTTCTTCTTTTGAACTTACAAGCCAAGTTGTATCATCTATATATGCTAATACTTCTTATTGTTAGCTTAATACCTGTATTTTGTTTGTTTTTAAATTACAAGGCTAACTAAACTCTATTCTATAACATATATTCTCTTCTTTACTGATTAAATATAATAGTAGATCATAAAATATTTATCACATAAGAGGTAAGACAACTTTTTCTTGATCTAATTCATCTCCTGCTTCAAATTCTTTTATTAGACCAAATTCTGTGATAAATTTAATCTTTCTCTTATTATATAAGTTTAAGAGAAATTTTGTTGTCAAGTCAGAGATTTTGATTCTTTTCAATACTTTTTTCATCATAATTAAGCTTACTGAATCAAATACTTTTTTCATATCCTAAAATAAGATCTATATCTCTTTATCTTTTTGCCTTGCATCTTCTAGCAGATTGTTTATAATATAAATAGAGTTTGATGTACTATTATCTGATTGATCTACAAAGTTTGAACCTTCTAGTACTTTGTATTTAACAAGTATATAATCTAATCTTTATATAATTATTCTCACTACTGTTTTTAAGAATACTTTAAATAGTACAATAGATCTTATATTTGCAAAATTGTAGTTTTAATTTTTATTCTTTAAAATTGAATATAATTACTCTACTTTTTATTTAATAGAAATGTCTCCTTTTGTAATACACTAATCTGCTAGTAGTCTGAATAGCTTTTGTGCTATTTGTTCTACTTTTTTAATTAAGTTAGAGTATTCTACAAACTTCTTCTTAATAGAACTAATAGGATATCTTGAGATAAAACTCTTTCTAATAAGAGAAACTAAGATGCAAACTAATCTGAGTAGTTCCTAATAAAATAATACAAGATTATGCAAAGTTAAGAATAAAATTAAGTTGATGTTAGAAATAATAGAATACCAGAGAGTTTAAATAAAATATCTACAAATAAATATTAGGTATAGTATTTAGTAAGAAACCTTAGAATAGAATCTTTAAATAAACAATAATTAAAGTTATATATGTAATCAAATATACTCTTACTAACCAATATAAACCTACAAATAATCTAATAAAAATTAATCAGTATAAGATCTTGTTAAAAAAAATAAAAATAAAATCAAATAAAATAAAAAATAAAAAAAACCTATCATATCAACTAGTCAAATTGTAGTATAGCTTTTATTTATTTCTGCATTTTTTATAGCCAATAGAATTATTGTATTTTTTCTAATTTGTGTTTTTTTATACTCTCCCCCCACTCTTACAAGCTATACTATGTTATGTTAAACAGAAAATCAATTTGAAGTAGCCTAAATTACATGTAAGTTAACAACCCTAGTTAATAATTTTGTAGCCATGATTATTGTGACCGCAACTTGTAAAGCCAATCAATTTTAGAATCAGGTGTACAATAACGAAATCGCTAATAACTCAAAATTTTGCTTATGAAACTATCCTTCACGTTCTAATAAAAAAATTCCTTACAAAATTTTGACCTTAGTCTTGGGCTAACCCTGACTATAATTTCAAAGAATAAAAGATTGATTTAACCTGATATTCGAATTTTAATAGTATTTTAATTATAATGGTTACAAAAAAACCGTGGCTTAATTCTAAATTTTTTTTAATGAATTCCAACTAAAACAGATTTGAATAATTTAAAAAGACGTTCTTAAATATTTATATAATACTATTGTATGTGTATTAGAAGACGGATCTATTTGTTCATATAAGTAGATAAATATGGAACAGTGGCACTGATTTATCCGACAATTTGTTCCCCGACAGAGTAATGTTGGCCCGATTTAAGGTTAGTCAGAATTATAGTTAGTGTTGGCTAAGTATTAGAAAATCATACAAACCCAATACAGACTGCACAGGCTGCGCATCCTGCAGCATTATCCTGCAAATTATTCCAGAATTATGCCAGCTGGCCAGAATTATACCAGCTAGCCTGAATTTTTACAGACAGGTTTAAGATTTTGCTTTGCATCCATTAAATCAATCAATCCTTAATACAATGAAAGCTGTATTTGCGGTTGTTAAAAAAAAAAAAAAATAGAGAAATAAATTATGACTTGTTTATACAAAGCTAATTTTATAATAGCAAACCGTAAATATCGAGTTTTAATTCTGACCTTGTTTGCTTAAAGATTTGGAAGCGCTCATTTGCATTTGTGATAACATCTGTATATCGGAATTTTAATTGTGGCAATACTTAACAATTGCAAATATTATAAAGATTATGTATTAAATAAAATATTCTCGTGTAAATGGAATCCAGGTAATGTTCTAAGCCTGATTGGAGAATTTCGTGACATACTAATGACAAATAAATAGAATAAATATATTTTTTATAATAATTATTTTGTTAATATCTTACTTATCCTTATTATTAATTCTTAAATTTCCGAGTAATGTTCATATCTTCTCAATCAATTCGAAAATGTTAAATATCTAAAAGACAATTCGATTTGATGGACAATAATGGAATACCACCCTTGATATATCAAGTGTTTTTACTTTCAGGAAAGGTAATTTTGTCTCTAACTTAATTTTTTTATTATTCGCAAACATTACAATAGTCATGATGAAAAGTTTAGAAAGATCAAGAATCAAAGTTTGTATTTATTGGAGGGTTTTTTTTTCTTTTGTCGTAAAAAATATTGTAAATTTCCAAATTATAATGAAAATGATAGCAAAGATACTTAGATTTAAGGATCAGGTACGGAAAAAAATCATAAAAGAAACGTTATAGCTAATACTAACTTTATTTTGAATATCTTAGACCTTCAACTTTTTTAAATCTTCTATAATGTCCGCATTCAAACATTGAGAAAAACTTGAAAAAACCAAATGGATTCATCATAAGTTTGAATAATAATTATTTTTATCATAGAAGTAATACTGTATATTCATTAACATTATACTATCACATCGCCTTATACTACAAGATATTGATAGTTTTAAAATTAATAACCCAGCACTCTTTTTCATGAGATAATTCAAAGACATCTTTTTGGTTGGGATCAAGTAACGCAAAGTTTAGTATAGCTTGGAATACTTATATTATATTCCACAGTTCCTTCAAATCTATTTAGCAAAAGTATTAGTAAGTGTAAAACTATTCAACTTCAAATATAACTTAAAGCCACTATTTTTTGTTCAAGATACTTCAAGACATTAAATGGGCCACCAACAAATTCAAATGAAATGTCGAGTGATTTAGGCACGACAATTTTATTCTAAATGTTTAAGTCGAAACTGTTGTTTAGTAATATTTAATTTTGGGTGGTTTTTTTTTATTAATATGTTTCTTTATAGTTTACATTTCTACCTACCAATATTGCTGATTTATTTCTTAAGGCAATACATCCTATCATACTTGTAAACAAATCATTTTGTAATGGACTCATGTTGATTTTGCGGAAGGGGATGTCTACTATAAATGATCCTAGTATTTTGTAGTTTTTCTTAGCGTGTGGTGTTAAAAATAATTTAATTGCATACGTAGAGAAAATGCATTGCCCGAACATCTGAAGGTAATTCAATTTCACCAGACAAAAATTTCAGTAAAAATGCAAATAATTTGATTGGTTTAACCTTCTGCATTGTAGTACGTATAATGTTGCCTCCACAAATACTTTTATTGTAATCCTCAATGAAATACTGTATATTCGGTTCTGTTCATTTCACCGACGCCCATTTTCTAGACCACCTACAATCAATTCGCCGACATGTTTGTTTCACAGACGATGAATTCCTAGACAAGCATACATTTCGCAGGCAACTTATTCCATAGACACTCATTTCACCGACTTTATTATCATTAGAATTGGAGTTAGGGTTAAGGTTAGAGGAATTTATAAGAAATAAACTTGTCAGTAAAATTAAATGAATTGTCTACGAAATGAGCTTGTTTAGAAATCAGGCCTACCGAAAAATTAATAGTAATTAATTTTGCCATAACGATAAGTTATGTATATACAATTTGCAATAAATTAAAATTATTGAAAACCCAATTAATGACGAATTATTTGTCATTTTACGTGACAAATAAGGATTTCTAATTAATTGACTCATTGAATTGAGTTCAAATAATTGCCTTCACAATCAATTATTCGGTAGGCCTGTCGGTGAATTGATTGTAGATGAAGTGTTGTGTGAAGTGATACGGATCCAATTAATTCACCTAGGTGATCAATAATCTCTTTAATATCTTGCTTTTTAAGTTTATAATTTACAGGACTAAAACATATCAGATTTTATAGTGATCGAGCCCGACAAGAAATAAACTTTTAAGTCCGAAGTCCCATTTTCCCTTGGCGACACTCACTCATATAGTATAAAATAAATAAATAAATAAATAAATATATGCGCAAATTTGAACTATTTAGCAAAGACTCAAATATATTACAAAAAATTGAAAAATAACAACATGAATAAAATAAAAAATATCTAATAAAAAAAATAAAGTGAATAAAAAAATATAAATTAATATATACAAATATACATACATATATAATAATGATTTTAATAAGAATTATAAATTTCACCACATCTCTCACAATAATTTTTGTAAATTTCATCAAATTCACCGCCAATAACTTTAACATTAATTTCATGATCCAATTTAATACTTTTACCTTTCATCACATTTAATCTAAATTCTAAAAACTCATATAATGTAGTTGCAGAAATAAACCAACCATTTCCCAACTTTAATTTTGTCAGATTCAATGGCATAGTATGCAATAAACTTAATAATAGTCCATCAAAGTCATGTTCACTGTCATAATTATCTTCATAACCATAAACATCAAAATAATTATCTTCGATTAACAAAGAATTATGATTACTTAATGCAGGAAAAAGAAATAAAGAATTAATAAAATAACAAGAATTTAAAAATAGGGTTAATTCATCAATACTTGAATGAGAAATAGGACCTTCAAATGTTCTAAGTTTTGGACATTTCATTGCAAAGGATTTAAAGAGTAATGAAGAATTATTAGGATCTTCTAAACAATCACTTTTAAAAGAAAATTCTTCAAGATTTTCACCACAATTTTCAATAAATTTAGAAAAGATAGATAAATTTGTAGAAGCTTGTCTACTTGAAAAATAAAAAGTTTTTAAATGATGAAATGAAATAGAGGATAATGAAGTAAATTTTTGAGTATAATTTCCAAAATTTTCAAGTCTTAAATGTTCAAGGTTAACAAAAAGAGATAAATTTTCCAAAGGAAAATGGCAATCAATTATACAAAATCTAGTAATAGTATTTGCATTATTTATAATCGCATTAGAAATAGGAAGTTTCCAATTAAAGAAATGAACATTATTGTTAAAATAAGGAGTTATATTAGAAATAGTTATATCATATAGATTTTTTTGCAAATTAATTAAATTTGCCATTGGTAAATTTACAAATTGTTGATCATAATAAATACAAATTTTGTTGATTTGATTGCAATTTTGTCTAATCAAAGAATTCAATGCTACGGAAAAATCAGTGAGCATACCTAGATCCTGATTGTATGTGAAGGAATTCAGAGGGGAAAAACAAGTATTGATCCCGGACATTTGACTAATTACTTTTGATAATGGATAAGAAAGAAGGTTACCAGATTTTATAATAAATTCAAAAAAGTAACAAGGTTTTGTAAAAAAAAATTCTTTAAATAGTTCATAAGCAATAAGAGGAATATTTGTATAGATGATTTGATTATTATACATAAGGCAGTCACCACAAGTATAACGAAGGACCCAAGAAGTAATATCAGTTTCCAATAATTGAAGATTGATAGATCTCAAAAAGGTAGCATAGTCAAATGTTTGGAAAAAGAATTGTGATACGGACATTCCATTATTGGCAAGTAAATCGAGAGAATCTTGTGGTAATCGAGCCAAATATGCAGAAATATAATTAAATCTTTTATTTGTAGGTTTCCAGATGCCAGACCAAGGTCTTCTCCACAATATTGGAATAGAAATTTTGCACCACTCACGATTTACAAGAACGCAAGAAAAGAGATTAGCCTTTTCTTTTTCAAGGTATTCGAAAATACAAACAAGAACATCTCTATTGAGATATGGATGAGTGGTTGGTGGCGGCTGGGTAATGATCAAAGAAGTATCATGAGAAGCTAGAGAATTATTAATCAACATTGTTTTTTGTTTTTTTTTTTTTTTTTTTTAGTTATCGTTAATTTATCACAACAGTATGTATGAAATAATATACGGTAATTAAAATTATTAAATGTATATTAACGTTAAGAGAAGAGGACCAATCTTGTAGAGAACCGGATTTATATATGTAATGACTCCGACAGAATAAATTACCATACTATATTTATCATGTGATAAAGTTTAGCTCATTGTGTATTGTTACACATATCAGATATAGTCGGACTTTAAAGAATATGATTATCGGATCGAATATTGCCACACTAAAGTGAAAGTGGTAAAAAATGGATAAAACGTTATTGATTATCATCTGACGGCATAGCGTAACCATTTTTCTTTAAAATTTTTCTAGTGTTTATGCGTACGAACCTCGGGTATTCTAATAATTTACCATATTTGTACTTTCGAATCTATTGATCTTCTACAAGTTCTCTCATTGGTTTAGATTACTGTACATGAAAATTCTAAGAGTAATTTTCTGTCCAAACCAAGAAAATAATGAAACGCACCCAAAATTAGTGTACATTTCTTTACATGTTTCATATAACTTTATTTTCAAAAAACGAGTTTCAAAAAAATGCTTACGTATTCGATTCTTCGTAGAAAGATTTAAAGTTTTCGATGGAAAACTATTATTAATAGTGTGCATGTTCAAAAATGTCTATGTGCGCTACATAATGTTAGTAATGTTAGTTGGGCTATGTATTTTTTTTTTTTGTCAACCTTTTTTTAAACACATGGCATTGCTTTAACGTTAACGTTAATAGTAATTAAAGAAATTAGCATACGTAGAACCTTCTCGTTTACAAACTTACAAATTAGTAACTTCTTTTTACAGCTACATGCGTATTCGAAAAGTCGCTAAAAGCCGTACACTTTATTGAGAATTTCATGTAAAATTCTGCAAAACACATTGTTCTTTACACTCTCAATATTATGGTCAGTTACGCCTTCGACTACGTTTTATATTTTTACTCAACTAATTACATTATGTGACATATTCTAGTTACGTCACGTTTTTATTTTAGTTATCTGTTATTCTAACGCTAAGAGTTACAATAATACGTACAATAATACAGTAATACACTTGTCACATTTGAAACATCACATGTGGAGCAAGAATTCCATTATTGTAATTATTTAGTGAGGATCACTGCATTAGGTAATATCATTTGTCTTTTTCTCCTGACAGTACGTAACAAAAGCCAAAAAAAAATTTTTTTTGTATACTAATACAAAATAAACAAACTACTATTCCTTTCTTTTCTTCGGTAAACTGCCGCTTCGTACCCAATTTTCCCTAATATCGACGTTTTATCATAACCGTCAGAACAAAAATTAGCTGCGAGCAGCTAAGCTCATTTAAGAAGTTTTTAACATCCACTCTTTGACCTATAAAATTCATTTTTCGAAAAATTTGGTAGATAACCTTTTTTTTTAATAATAATAAATAATAATAATAATATAAAACACTCATTTTTATCTATAAAAATCAAGAAATCGATCGGATTGGTGATAATTTTTCCGATATTTCGTTAAAACAAACGTAGGAATTAATCATTTTCATTATTTAATCGTTAAAATTCTTTATTTCAACGCCATATGATTTTTTTTTTTTTTTTTTTTTTGATACTAAATTTATATTTATACAGAAAGATAAAAACATGGATTCCGTTCACAATACCACAATTACTTCCTACATAAAGGAAATTGAAGGTTATCTCAACAATAAACGAATACTGTACGAAGCAGAAGGCAGGAGAGAATTTGTTCCATTAATAGATCGAACTGTACAAATGATTAGATTAATTAAAGATCCTGGAACAACTGAAGGTCATTCTAATGTCACAGAACAAAGGTATGATTTTGGATTGAAAATTTGACGATCCATTCTATCTTTTTAATATCACTAGTAAAGGATTATATCCAAATTTTAATTTGAAATTAGATTAGGATAAATTTTTGATCGCATTAAATCATTCATTATGTTATTTTTATTTTTTTCTAGCAACAATCGTTCATCAACACAATGCAATTTTGAGCGGCCACCTGAAAAAATGTATCATTATGCTGAAGGTGAAGCAATTGATTGTGCTATATGTATTGAACAAGTTGAACCGAAACATGCTCAAGTTCGATTATCGTGTGGACATATATACCACCTAAATTGCCTAGGGTACATTTTGTTCTTATTCGAGTTTAGTTTTTTTTTTTTTTTATCAATCTAATTAAATTCATATAAAATTGTTTTAGTTCCCATTTTAATCATTCAGGTAAAATTCAATTCTTGATTACACATTTCTTAATTATTACATCTCTTAATTCCATTTTTTTTTTTTTTTTTTTGTCCGATTATAGGTGATTTTAAATGTCCTTACTGTCGGTTAGAAGTTGAAAGTTATGCAAAGCAACCACGAACTTGGGAATATCCACCAAATGGTCCTCCAACTCCGCAAAATATAAATGATCATAATGATATCCCACACCCAGGAGAATTGGATTTTGCAAATTTCCAACGAGGTATTATTTTTAATTTTTTATACATGAAAAATATATACAAACACTAGGTAAAGCTTATTCTATTTTTAATAATTAAGGCGTACTGCAAGTTGTAAATTCAATCTTTGGTGGAAGATTGAACCTTGGTCATCCCTTTCGAGATGATAACGGTGCTGAAGATGATTATTTGGATGACGAGTATGCTTTATTTTATTTTAACCTTGAAATTAAAACTTTGTTTCACTTGTTTAATAATTATTTTCCTTATTTTTTAGAGATGATGCTACTGATTTCTCGGATTCTGATCGTATCGTGTATGAAATTGCTAACGTTGGTGACCCTTACAATAACTCTGAGACTGATACTGATGAAGATTCAAATTCTTCTGATGAAGATTATGGTCAAAATGAACCTATAAGTAATGATGATAGGCTTCGTTCACATTTCAGTAGTGATTCTAGTGAACATTCTTCATCAGGGAGACGTGCTCGTCTTGTAATGCATGCAAGCAACAGTAGGATTGATAATGAACATGATGATCTAGGAAATAGATCATCACACGAACGTAATGTACAAGGAAGGCGCTCAAGGTCTCCATCAATATCACATCAACGATCACATCCTATTAATTCTACTAGAATTAACTATACATATTATTCTGATAGAGATTGCGATGATATGTACTCTCGAAATAACAATAATCTTAATTCGACCAAAGATAATGAAATTAGAGAATCATCAAATAGGTATGTTTGGAAAATCTCCTTTATTTAATAATTTTAAATGCTTACTGAAACTATTTTATTCATCTAGGATTAACCGAAGTCGTCCTATTAATTTTTTAAATGAATTACAAATAACGGATTCTACTGATTCTTCTAGATACCGAAATGATACTGATTCCCATAATCCAAAATCAATCATCAATAACTTTTCCAGATATCCTGATGATAATATATGTGATGAAACACCACGAAATTATGAACAATTCAATCATAGTTCTCTGGATTCTTCATCTAATATTAGAAATGATGAGACATTTTATAATAATTCAAATAATCGACTCGGTTTTGGCAATTCCCTTCCTCAAACCATCTTCAATGCTCCACAACACTCTACACAACAACATTCTACATTATCAAGCCGAACTCATTATGCCTCTCAATCTGATTCTGAAAGTGAATTCACAAATACTTTATACCGACATAAATCGTCCTCATTTAGGTTAAGAAACATGTATCAAGAAGATTCTACTACTGCTGAAGAAATAATGGATGATACTGGTTCAAGTTCCTCATCACGAGAAAATTCTGACGATGAAGACCAAGATGAAGATGAAGTGATGTTTACGGGTACATTTAATTGGGGTACGTATTTATTTATTTATTTATTAAAACATGTTACCTACTTTATTTTATATATATATATATATATATATTTAAATTATATTTAAATTTTAAATAGATGCAGGAAACGAAATGGACACTACTGATGATGAAGATACTGAAGATGAAGATTATCGAAGGTATTCTTCTCGTCGATCCTCTTCATCTTCATGTTTACCTACATTTTCTTCATCTGATGAAGGTTACGAGGAGGATAATATCTCAACAACAAGTTTATCTTCTCCAATCAGACATGAAACAAATCAACTATGGTATAAACCATGGTCTTGGTACAATAATAACCATTTACCAGGTACAGCATCTAGTACAGCTTCAGCTGTTGCTGATGTAGATAGTGATGCTACAATTAGCAGTGGTGATGAACGCGGTCATTAACAAATTCTTGGGGGGTTCAGTATTTTAGTTAAATTAAGGGGATAACACTTTGATGTTACATTAGACATTAATACCAATTTTTTCTATAGATGTAAGTACTCATCATGATGTCGCGGTCGACTTAGAAAAAAAAGTTTCATCGGACGCGACAAAAATTGTGAATAGGGCCACGAGGTGGGTAGGCCTATAATAATGGTTTTTATTATTGATGTGAATAAAAATATCAAAAAAAAAAAAAGGCGGGTAATCAATATTATATGAAATTTAGACAAAAAAAAAATGCAAAAAAAAAAAACAAGCAAAAAAAAAAAAAAAAAAAAAAAAGTTTTTTTTTTATGTGTATATTAATAATTAGCGAGTGGAGATTTGTAAATTTTTAACATCTTTTCTCCTAATCAACTTAATAAATATAAGCATATCTGATATTATTCTGGTCTATTTCAGTAAAAAGGTTTGATGTTAAAAAGTTTTTATAGCATAAATATAATACAAATATATAATAAATATTAATAAAGATTAAATAAGTATCAAAATAGTTATTGCATATATAACATGTGAAAATATCCGATTAAAAATGAGAATAATGGTTTACAAAAAAAAAAATAAATTAAAAATTTATTATTATTTTTTTTAATTAATAATTAAAAAAGTTTAACCGTTGTACATAATCATGTGTAAATAATTATAATTATTTTAATATACGATAATAAAGCCTAATATTCAAGATAATTAAATATTGTTTATCGCAGTATTGAGATATCTACCAATATTTTTTTTTTAATTTTTTTTTGTATTTTTTTTTTTTTTTTTTTCCATTTACCAAAGATTTCATCTATATATCTATATATATATATACAAACAATTATTGTAATATACTTTCTTATTTACAAAGAAACAACCTTTTTTTTTTTTTTAGAACTAATATTATTACTAAATTATATTAGGAAAGAAAAAAAAAAATGAAAAAGATTAGAAAAAATAAACCAAATATTAAAACTATATAAGAAAAGTGATTCATCAACGGTAGTTCCTAAAATCAAAGGTAACAAAATCCGAAATAATTTCACTATCAATCATACTAGTCTAAACCAGATAAGAAATAAAACTATATAAAATCCAAATTTACGCGACTAATTGGAAAAAAAAAAAATAGATTAGACAAATTAAGAAATAATAAATTGATTTCATAATCATATAACAATATATATATATATATGTATACCCTTTTACACCATTTTGGAAGGAGAATGTTCATCGGTGACTTTCTTTAAAGGAGAACTGGTGGCAACTAAGATTCCTGATCCACTTAAATCATCACCAAATGCTAAATAAACAGTTTCACATAAAACATCACGAACTGAAGAGTTCATATTTCCACAACCATATAATTTAGCATTTGTTTTTCTAAGTGCTAATACTTTCTTGGCAAATTGAAAACGATCAATTGGAGCTTCAAAAGGAAATGTTTGTGCTTCCAATGCTGATTTTAAAAACTCGAATGGTAATTCAGCATAAATTTTTGTAAGATGTTCAAATCCATGAGCAGGCCATTTATAAAATTGAAAAACTTCTTGAGGAAGTAAAGCTGTTAAATAGAAAATTATAGCTATACGTAATTCTTCTGGTGTCGCATCCATGAAAGGAACTGTTCTATGCATAGCAATATAACTATGAACATTCTCTAGACAAAGTAAGTCGATGAATTTCACAAAGACTGAAGTGTGCCCGTTACATGGTGGATAATCAAAAGGAGGAACTGGTAATGACCAATTGTTTTTCATCAAGGATAAAGGAATTGTTCCTACCCAAATCATGTCACAAATATGCTCTTTTTGAGGAAAACAAACTTGATTTTCTACGAAAGGAAAAGGTTCCGATAACCAGGTTGGAAAATTTTTAGGCGTTTCGAGTTGTGGTATTAGATCATGACTTTGAAAAGTCGGTGAGGGTAAATCAGTACATGGAAGACCGTAATTGGGTAAAAATAGAGCAAAGAATAGATTAGGGTCAGGTAAAGCAACCATCGACAGATTATCTAAAGGCTGTAAAGAAACTTCATTAATACAAGTCGTAACACCGTAAGAAGTCATGACAGGACGCGGTTGTAATAATGTTCTCCGAGTTCTTGAAAAAATGACTGATTTAAGAGCCGAAAAAAATTTTGAAAGAAAAAGATCGCATTTATATTGTTTTTTCGTATTGCTGCGTAAATAGTTTTAATTACCTTTTTTGGAAATTTCTCACATGGGTAGACTTCAGTGATTGAATAACAAGTTTTTGAAGTTTTTGTATTTGTACTGCGCCATCAACATTAATTAAAACTACGTACCAATACAATACGACGCAGTGATCTATTTATGTTGTATTATTTCATAAAAAATGCTACAATTTTGATGTGACGCAGACTGTCATTATTTTTACGTTGTCATTGTGCATATTTTGAGGAACTATTAATGTCGATCTTGACGGAGTTCACCTAAATTTTCCGTAATACCTATCGTGTTTATAAATCCGTCTTGTTCGTCAAGATTTTTTTTTTAGACTTGAATAATGATATCATTCTATTATTTAGTATTTGTTATTAACAAAAGAGAATGTTGCTAAATTACCCCCCCCCCCTGGTTGTATTACTATCGCTATTATCTAATTTCCAATCAGATCTTAGAATTTCAGAAAATATGCATAGTGACAATTAAAATTTGTAATAAAATGTTTCAAAAAGCGTTTGCTTTTAGAACACTAGTGCCTTCATACTTTATACATAATTATATTGCATAAATACTTGTCAAAATTTGAATTAAATACTGTATTTAATAATTTTTGCTTTTTTGATCTTTTTGATTTTTTTATTTATTTATACTAGTTTGCAAGTTTTTCTTCTTGCTTTTTATAGATTTTTATTAGTTCAACTAAAACTTGTTAGAAGTAATTAGGCTTATTTGCTTTATTATTTCTATTTTTTGTTTTTTTTTTTTTAGATTTTTAAATAATTTATTATTTTTTAAATTATATTACAACCAAATTTATTTATAACTTTTAATAATATTTTTTATTATTTAATAAAAATTTTAAATATTAATTTTAATAATATATTTATTTATTAATTAAAAAATAGATTTAAATATTTGTTTTATTTTTATTTTTTTATTTTTTTTTAACTTGAGTAATCTTACTTTTCATTTTATTGAGAACATTATATATTATGACAACTAGAAATATAATATTACAAAAAGTTTTAAACTAATATAATAAAAATTTTCTTCCTATTGCAATTCCAAATTCATTTAGCTGTCTATATAAACCCAAATAAGTATAGAAGGTGTCTAAATATGATCTGTTGCAGAAATTAGTTTTTTTCTTCTTAGTAACTTCTCTATAAGAGATATTATTCTTGGATCAAAAGAAGATAACTTTAAGCCTATATCAAGATTCTAGATCTCTTCTAGCCTAACTAATGCTAAGCTAACAGTAGTTAACACCTAGTCTCAAGATAAAAAAAAAAATTGTTACTAAACTAAAAGTATAAATGTTTACTAACAAAGAAAAACTTATCTCAAGTTATAAAAACTTTGTTAGGCAGTAATGTAAAAAGGATAAAATATGAAAAAAAAGAACTAGTAATCAAGTACTCTATAACCTAAGTCAGGTTTAAAAATTTTAAGTTATATAACTTATAACTTATCTCAAATAATTCTTTTTCTAATGTATAATCTATTTCTAGTATCTGTACTTCAATAGTTTTGCATCATCTTTTCCTAGAGTCTGTAGTATCAAAATTATGTAATAGACTAAACAATAAACAAAATATGTAACTTTGTTTATTGTATAAAGTTGCATGTCTATAGGTTTTTCTAAAAATAGAAGATATAAACAATGTTGATCTTTTGTAGAGAAGAACTTAGATTCTCTACTTTTGTCAAAAAAAATAGAAAACTAGAGAGAAAAAGCTTATGATATATTCTTGTTTTTAAGGTCTAAAAAAGTATGTAGACAAAATAATTTATTGTTCACTATCTTAAGACTTTTTTTACTAACTTTGTTAACAAAGAGCTCTTTTGCA